ATTCAAACATTGAATACTTAGATTATGTGTATCGGAAGTTCTTTAAACATATCGTCTACTGTGGCAGCGTTCTGGGTAATTTTGGGGGATTTCAGAAACAGTATCGTCACCCTGTCACCTTTCTGGAGGTCAATGAATTTGATAGAGGTGTACATGGTTATCTATGCATAGCTTACGCCATGGAACTTGGCTACAATGTCAGTGGATACATGCAGATGTCAGACGACGTGTTGCTGAACATGTGGAACATCGTCGACTTACCGAGGGACAAGATCTGGTTCCAACAAAGTATCAGAAATGGAACACTTGGGACCAGGAAAGTTCCAAACATTACTAAAGCAAATGGGCAATTGCATTGGTGGCCTTGGAGCGCTGGTAACTGGGGCGTAAGGCGCTTGAGACAATTATGGGCATTCTTTGAACATCTTAAGACCACATCTCACAAACAAAAGGTCCAGAATTTTCTTTCACAACTTTCTGAGAGTTTTGGTGGGCCTGGAGGAGCTTTCTACGAAGCATCGGATATATTTTATGTTCCTTCTAAACACAAAGAACTTTTCAGTTTCTTTTCAAGACTGTTCTTTGGGCATCACGTGTTTCTTGAGATTGCCATTCCAACCATGCTATGTGGCTTTGATCATATATCCAATATTGTTCGACTTAATGGAACGTACTTGTGGTACCAGGAGAGAGTGCTTTATGCAGAACGATACAACCCCTACAATATTTTCGAACACTCTTGGAAGTTGAAACCTTTAATGACGGAAGTTAAAGCACAGGATTTTTTCTGTACCAAATACCTGCCATATGTTGAAGGAAAAGCAGCACACAAGCAAATATCGCCATGAACAAATGACATTTAAATGATGTTTGTGTGACTGAAGTAATATGAAGTGTCATCCACAAAAATATATTATATTCAATATAATAAAACTAAAAGACAGACGAAAATTCGTATGTTATATATGAAATAAAACCATACAGACAGTTATGTTTACTCCATTTTCTAGTAGGTAAGAGTTATAGAAACAACCCACTGCTGGGATACTAGGAAACTGTTACTCAAGTGACAAACAATTCCACGTTGTACAATATAAGTTGTAGCAGGATCATGGGGTTTAAAGTGTCCCGCGTTAGGTTTTATTCCACGAGCCGGGGGCGAGTGTTATAACACCCTAGGAGGGACGCATAAAACCCTAAGTACCCCTCGTGATCCTGCTACAACGAATGTATCTTACCGATATGTTTTATTGTGACATTGTAAAAGAATTAACACAAATTCAAAATTGATAGAAAACAGCTGGTCGATTGAGCTGAGGTTAAGCGTGCGGCTTTTTGCATCGACGTTGAAGTTAATTCCCCCGCTGAGAAATGTATTACCCGCAAAGACGGGTTACACAGTATTTTATCAAGATCACGTGGACCAATCAGATCTCATCATTCTATCATGGAGGTAGGTTTATACATCCAACACACAACGTCAATGTCAACAGGCATCGTCATAGCGTTTGCCCCGAGGGCGGAAGGTCAGTGGCTCGCCCCGTTGCGTCATGTCAAAAGATGTAAAAAGATGGTACTTGGCATTACGGCATAAAAAGGAGGTATCAGTGTTTAACTGTGACATGGCATCTCAGTGGGTAAACTCCATAACATTGCCTGAAGTCCGTACTAGTAGAAGCAGGCAGTGGTAAATCACTTTCAAGCGAAGGGGTACCAGTCGTGGATGTTGATTTTGTGAAACGTTTTCTGATTGGAGTATCGATATGTGCGATAGTCCAATCATATTTAGCACAGGAAAGTGGGCTTGATGTGGCAAGGATGGAAACAAGACTTTGATAAAAAGGCAAGTGGACGCTCTTGCAAATCCCATGTGTCCTCAAAGAGAATCCTGTGATAGAATGGAAGTTTCTTCTTACAGATATGTTTATCGTAAGAATTGACTGAAATGGATCAGGTGATCAGCGTGTCATCATGGCTGGATTATTGCCGATCGTGGCGATTAACATCATTCACTCACTTACGCATGTATATCCAGAGGAAGTTCAACAGTAAATATACTGTTAGTATTAAGTAAACAGAACCCCAGAATACTATAACATCCTGTTTCTTTATTTCTTAAATAGATAATCTCAAAGAATGTTGATACTCCCAAAAATGTATGCTGATATTTATATTGACCTGTATCATTTCTCTGTTATCGGTGCTCTTCCCGTTTCCTTCGACCTCCTCAATCATAGAGTAATAACTTCATACGTTAACGTTTACACTGTTTCTTTCATGCTGATTGGCTGAATGAGTAGTCGCGTGATCTGATATTTAGAGTTCACACTCCTGTGAACGGACTAAAAAGTTCACACGACGTGAGCAATTTTTTTGTGAAATTGATCGTGTGAACTTTTGCCGGAACTACTTTCCGGGGTTTCCCCGAATTCTCGATCGGTGTTTACAATCAACTCGTTTTTCTATTTTCTTTTTAATCCCGGCATTTATCAGGAATATAATTAATTAAGTATTTTTGCCTTGTCTTGTAACATTTCATCTGACTTAAAAATAAATAAATGCTTTGGTTCTGGTGTTTAATGTCGTGTAGCTGCCAGATGAAACAGAATGGATTGTCCTTACGGTGATTTGGATATGGAATGCCTATCTTTCAATACTAGATCTAATAACGCAAGTGAAGAAAATTAATTCTGTAAAATTACTTAGGTGAACGAAATTGATTTATTGAGCGATATGACCTTGATGTCTTGTTTTCGGAAATGACAGGAATCTAGCACCAGTGAATACTATGTCGTACCCTGCTTAGATGTGGCCGCTGCCACAGATCAAAGCGACTGCTCCTGATCAATCCCAAACTAAAACCCGATTCACTATCGTATCGGGAAAAAAAATCTAAGATTTTGAGAAACCATGAGGAATGACGGGGCACAGCAATGAAGCTGGCGTCAGGTCATACAGTCATTGAATGAAGTGTTACGCACAGTTCTCTTGTTAGTTTAAGAATGCACAATATATTTGAGTGAGTAGGCACGGAAAGGGGTTTCATACGGCTTTGAACAGCATTTCACTTTTATCACAGGGTTTCACTTAAATCACATAAACTCCGTGAAGACCCGGGATAGAATAGGTCTTCAGCAACCCATGCTTGTAAGAGGTGACCAACGGGATCGGATGGTCAGGCTCACTTACTTGGTTGATGCGTATCATGGTATCCCAAAAGCGTAGATTGATGTTCATGATGTCAATTCATGGATTGTCTGGTCCAGACGCAAATATGTGCAGACCGCCGTCATACAGCTGGAATATTGCTGAATGTGGCAAAAGAACAAAACAAACTATATCATATAATGAAAAGTGTTATCAATGCGATAAACGAATCCGATAAACTTGGGGATCACGATCACGTCAATATGCAAATGTGGTCACCTGGCAGGGACTATTTTAAGCTCCATACATCGATGCAATGTCTGCTTGCCAAATAAACTATTGACTGACGTTCCCAATTAGGGGGCACGGGTAGCCCAGTCGTCTAAGGCGACGCGATCGCTGTGCAGAGTTGCGTCCTTTGGGCACGCAAGACACCTATGGTTGTTGGTTCGAATCCCGCTTCACCCTGATTATGTTTCTAGGTTTGTCAGTACGATACCCGTGCTCATGGGTTTCACCGAAGTGATAAACGTCTGAGACCTGCGAGACGTCTGAGGCCATTTCGGGCTTTCCACCCACATTACGCTGACACGCCATGATATAACTGGAATAATGTTAAAAGCGACGTTAAACCTAACTCACTCACGAACTAACTATTATAATTGAAGCACGGGGGCGAGTTTGGGAACAATGTATACAGATACATGTCGGAATCGAAATAAACATGTACAGATGAATTTCAAAGTGTCTTTCTTTGTTTCTATGCTTTCGCAATCTTGAATCCCCACATCTGAGTGTCATACAGAGTAAGCGACTTCAAAAGCTCCCAGCAGATACAGATCTGCAGATTTGTAAAACAAGACTTTATTATCTTGTACCTTGGGTGTACCTGGATCAACCAATCAACAACAGGTTACTAAGAACATTTAGACAGAGCCTGGAGATTATTGGATCGTCGAATCTAGCGCTTTTAATGAAAGTATTGCAAGATTGTCCAAGCACGTTTAGTAGAAACGTTATTCATTTTATTCAACAGATGGATATATTAATATAAGCTAATATTCAAGATTATTGACGTGTTGCTTTTTTTTTAATGCCTCTCGCGGCAATTGTCCAGCTATATGACAGCGGTTTGTTAATAATTTAGTCTGGATCTGACAAAACAGTGATTGGTATTACGAGCAACGAGCAACGCAATCGGGGACAGATGATAGTGAGTGAGTGAGTGAGTGAGTGAGTGAGTGAGTGAGTTGTGTTTAACGCCGCTTTTAACAGTATTCCAGTTATATCGCGGCGTGTCAGCTTAATGTGGGAGGAAAGCCCGAAGTGATGCAGGTCTCAGACGTTTACCACTTCGGTGAAACCCTCGAGCACGGGTATGGTGCTGACAAACCTAGAAACATAATCGGGGCGAACCGGTATTCGAGCCCACAATCATAGGTTTCTGGCGTGCCCAAGGGACGCAACTCTGCACAGCGAATCGCGTCGCCTTAGACGACTGGGCCACCCGATACATGATACAGAATCAACCAAATCGCAGAGTCTGACCACCTGATCCATAGAGTCGCGTCTTACTAACAGCTTATAGACTGCAAAGGGCCACTGCTAACCGGAAAACCCCACGGGGCTCTTTGGGTTAAATATACATTGTAAGTGTATAAGGGGCGTCAGATGCCCAGACGTCTAAGGCGCTGCGAAGAGTTGCGTCCCTTAGGTGTGCCAGAATTCTATGATTGTGGGTTCGAAACCCGGTTCCATGTTTCTATGTTGGCCGGTACTATAAACTCGTCTCATGAGTTCCTCCAAAGTGGTCAACGTCTAAGACGTGCACCGCTTTAGGATTCTTCCCACATTAAGTTGACACGACATGACAGATATAATGTTTAATCATTCATTCAGTGTAAGTGTATATAAATGGGTTTAAAGCTGCTTGTATATAACGGAGCAGGAGGGTCCACTTGCACAAGGCGACCTTCGCGCTAAGACTATCGTAAGCCTATGTTAAAGAATGGGAGTTACGATCATCTTAGAGCTAAGATCGCGTTGTGCAAGTGGGTCCAGTTCATAGTATACAGGTTAGACAACCCACAACATCAACAAGAACACGGGCACCTTCCAGAATGACCTTTTCTCCAAGTAGTGTTGTAACTATTCAAATCCGATCCATACTTTGGTAGCATAGAATAAATACTTGACATAAGGACATTTCCTTTTTTGTATTGCTATTCTATTCTATGAATTATGTATTTAGAACAGAAGAAGCCCATTGACAAGCAATTTTGGTAAGTCCTTCTTTTTGCTACGTGAGTGCTGTATAGATTAGAGCCTTCTTTGTGTCTGTCATTTCAATGGCCTCGCCACTGACCAACTTCATCTGCACAGTGTAATTGCATTCCCTGGACCCAACTCCGAACATCGGATACAGTAATTCTGTAAATGAAACATAAAATTTAGCCAAAACGGCGTTATTATTCAGATCAATGAACGCGAGCCTTTTCCCCCCAACATCCAGCACAACGCCATATGAAAGTGTGACCTGTGTACATGGGGCGTTAGACATGGTGTTGGTTGAGCAGAGAATATGCCTCCCTTCATCATAAACCCTGGTACAGATACACCGGTGTTGGGGACAGTCCATCACACAGATACTCCAGGAGCGGGGCTGGTAACACGTCCATAGGTTCCGGTCCACCTGTCTCTTCTCCACGACCGACACCTCTAGAGCAGGCCACCCCACGCCCACCTCCACCGTCACATCGGACAGCGTCTCCCAGTACCGGGGTGCGGCTGGGACACAGTCAGGGTTGGACGAATTGGGAGTAACAAGGATAGGGGTGGAGCTGCATGTGCCACGGTACTTGCGAAGTCTACCACTATGCTGCTCATGTTGGCGTCCGACCGGCTGTGAGTTGACCAGCTCGCCGTCTGTGTTAACGTGACATTGCCATGTGTTCGCCCTTGTGCTGTCCAGTTGAAGTTTGGGACCTGGTAATACATTAACATAACAAATATTAAATGGGGACTCGGCTTCAGAAAATTTGACATTCTGAGAAAGTTATTTCAATGTTGTTAAAACATTGCTTTCTTCACCTCCCTACTCAAATTATATTGAGTATATGAGTATATCAGGTAATGAGTACCCTAACGCAAAGAGATATTGAGACCTATCCTAAAATTGAAAAAGTACCATGGATATACTCAATTAGGGCCCGGGTCCGCTTTCAACGAAGTGATTCGGTCTCATGACAGACTGAAGCCCAACTATTACACTGCGATGTTATGACAATCAAGCCGAAGGCTATGGGTAGGTATATACTTTTCTGCAATCGCTTTGATTGAGCTGAATGAAGAGGATGTACTCACACGAAATCTGCAACGATTGTTGAGAATCTACTTTTCCTACGATATGGACCGATCCCCCAAACGCTGTGAAAAGTCAAATACAAAATATGTTTGTCGAAATACAAAAGTCAAATTCAAAATATGTTTGTGGAAATACAAAAGTCAAATTCAAAATATGTTTGTGGAAATACAAAAGTCAAATACAAAATATGTTTGTGGAAATACAAAAGTCAAATACAGAATAGCTAGGTTTACAGGCAAGACGAACACAGAATAGTTTTAAGTTTTAGGTTTGTCATCATGAATATGTAATGATAGCGACAAATTATTTTTAAATTATATTTGATGACACAGAGCATAGATATTTAGCAACGTGTGACAGTCATTATGCGCTGTTCTTGCAGGTCAACAGCGTGTGCCAACATGATTCTCCCTCAGTGAAATCGAATTCCTTGTGATATTAAATACATTGACCGCGTAATGCAACTGTGACAGCATGCCATAGAAGTTGTGTTGAAACAGGTTAATAGTATGCACTGTGTGTTACAAATCGATGCTGCTGTCATATATGCCTACCGATGAAGTCACTTGTCCAGGAAGTAGTTTGACACACACCGAACGTATGTGACGTCTTGCTTTGTTACACATCGATTTGATTTAAACATATTTATTTCCACAAAGTGGAAGGATTGGCAAACAAGCAAATTTTGCTCATCTGAATGCCTCTCCCAAACATTGATACATATACAAATTACAATGTATTGATAGTGACATGAGAAATAGCATACATTGTATAATTGACATTACAGATAAGTATTGTTCTGCAAGTGTTTAATTACTGGATTATCTTTCATAACTACAGTTACCTTATTATTTATATCCAGCACAACAACATCGCAGTATCATATAGCAAAGCCAACATCTCAGACAAAATCTCTAAATCGGCAAGAGGATAGAATAAAACTGTGCAGTGATTTCAAAATTTCAAGATTTGTTACTGTCGTTAAATGTGAATTACCATTTAGAATTGAATTTAAATCGTAGCCTTTTACGAAATAATACATCGATTTGGGTAACTTAAGTTTCAAACACAGAAACGGGAAGTATGAAATAGTCACAGCCGTTATATAGTGTTGAGTCGATCAGTCACTGGTTTATCAATTGTGTGAAACTTGCAGCACGACCTCGGAGACAGCGAAAAGCCCTATTCCGCTTTATAGCACCTTAATTTGTACAAATGTCAAACACTGCCAGTAATACTTCACTATGCCACAGACCGCCTCCGTGGTCTTGTGGTAGAGCGTCCGCCCGGAGAACGGAAGGTCCAGGGTTCGATCCCGGGCCGCGTCATACAAAAAGTCGTTAAAAGATTGTACTTGTTGTTACCCTGCCTGGCGCTCGGCATTAAGGGGCTAAAACAAGGACTGGTCGGCTCGGAGTCAGTATACTGTGTCTGAGTGGGGTATTCATGTTAAACTGCGGCATGGTATCTCAGTGAGCTAGCACTATAAATCGGCATCAGTCCGGACTAGTACAAGCAGCCACACCCACACATACACGTGCATGCACGTCGCTATATAAGTGCAATAATCTTGGACGCGACGTTAAACCCAATTTCACCTCACCTCACCTCACTATGCCACCTACTATTTTCCCAATGAGGTGCGAGTATATGTGTGTGTTTGGGTTGGAGGTTGGGGTGGTTTGTGTTAAGGGGCGAGGGGAGGGGTTCGGTTCTGGCCTGGAAACAAATGTGTTTCTGTTTTTTTCTGTTCACGGTACTAAAATAAACATTGTTGAAAGTCTTACCTCCAACTGTTTCACACGTATTCATCCGTAGCCTGTACAGACCCTGTTTGTCTGGTGACGTTGAGTGGGGTTGGAGCCCAGTGTACACATACTGTACTAAGTCAGCAACAGCTGTTCTGAAACATTTAGTCGTAAGTCTGAAGAGATGTATTGATCGTATTCACCAGTGGGGACAGATCTATACGTGTCTACAAGTGATGGAATATCGATACTTATGTAACGCTGTTACTTTGGCAGATAAAGCTCCTTTTGATTTGAAAATAATTTAATCCAACATGTTAAAGATATGTCACGGCCGTTTGTCAGTCAACGTGTTACAGGTATGTCACGTCCGTCTGTCAGTCAACATGTTACAGATATATGACGGCCGTCTGTCAGTCAACGTGTTACAGATATGACATGGCCGTCTGTCAGTCAACGTGTTACAGGTATGTCACGGCCGTCTGTCAGTCAACGTGTTACAGATATGTCACGGCCGTCTGTCAGTCAACGTGTTACAGATATATGACGGCCGTCTGTCAGTCAACGTGTTACAGATATATGACGGCCGTCTGTCAGTCAACATGTTACAGGTATGTCACGGCCGTCTGTCAGTCAACATGTTACAGATATGTCACGGCCGTCTGTCAGTCAACATGTTACAGATATGTCACGGCCGTCTGTCAGTCAACATGTTACAGATATGTCACGGCCGTCTGTCAGTCAACATGTTACAGATATGTCACGGCCGTCTGTCAGTCAACATGTTACAGATATGTCACGGCCGTCTGTCAGTCAACGTGTTACAGGTATGTCACGGCCGTCTGTCAGTCAACATGTTACAGATACGTCACGGCCATCTGTCAGTCAACGTGTTACAGATATGTCACGGCCGTCTGTCAGTCAACGTGTTACAGGTATGTCACGGCCGTCTGTCAGTCAACGTGTTACAGGTATGTCACGGCCGTCTGTCAGTCAACGTGTTACAGATATGTCACGGCCGTCTGTCAGTCAACATGTTACAGATATGTCACGGCCGTCTGTCAGTCAACATGTTACAGATATGTCACGGCCGTCTGTCAGTCAACGTGTTACAGGTATGTCACGGCCGTCTCTCAATCAACTTGTTATTGATATGTCATGTCCGTCTGTCAGTCAACGTGTTATAGATATGTCGTGGCCGTCTGTCAGTCAACGTGTTATAGATATGTCACGGCCGTCTGTCAGTCAACGTGTTACAGGTATGTCACGGCCGTCTGTCAGTCAACATGTTACAGGTATGTCGCGGCCATCTGTCAGTCAACGTGTTACAGATATATCACGGCCGTCTGTCAGTCAACGTGTTACAGATATGTCATGTCCGTCTGTCAGTCAACGTGTTACAGATATATCACGGCCGTCTGTCAGTCAACGTGTTACAGATATGTCACGGTCATCTGTCAGTCAACATGTTACAGATATATCACGTCCGTCTGTCAGTCAACGTGTTACAGGTATGTCACGGCCGTCTGTCAGTCAACATGTTACAGATACGTCACGGCCATCTGTCAGTCAAAGTGTTACAGATATATCACGGCCGTCTGTCAGTCAACATGTTACAGATATATCACGGCCGTCTGTCAGTCAACGTGTTACAGATATGTCACGGCCGTCTGTCAGTCAACATGTTACAGATATATCACGGCCGTCTGTCAGTCAACGTGTTACAGGTATGTCACGGCCGTCTGTCAGTCAACATGTTACAGATACGTCACGGCCATCTGTCAGTCAACGTGTTACAGGTATGTCACGGCCGTCTGTCAGTCAACGTGTTACAGGTATGTTACGGCCGTCTGTCGGTCAACGTGTTACAGGTATGTCACGGCCGTCTGTCAGTCAACGTGTTACAGATATGTCACGGCCGTCTGTCAGTCAACATGTTACAGATATGTCACGGCCGTCTGTCAGTCAACATGTTACAGATATGTCACGGCCGTCTGTCAGTCAACGTGTTACAGGTATGTCACGGCCGTCTCTCAATCAACTTGTTATTGACATGTCATGTCCGTCTGTCAGTCAACGTGTTATAGATATGTCACGGCCGTCTGTCAGTCAACGTGTTATAGATATGTCACGGCCGTCTGTCAGTCAACGTGTTACAGGTATGTCACGGCCGTCTGTCAGTCAACGTGTTACAGGTATGTCACGGCCGTCTCTCAATCAACTTGTTATTGATATGTCAGTTCCGTCTGTCAGTCAACGTGTTATAGATATGTCACGGCCGTCTGTCAGTCAACGTGTTATAGATATGTCACGGCCGTCTGTCAGTCAACGTGTTACAGATATGTCACGGCCGTCTGTCAGTCAACATGTTACAGATATGTCACGGCCGTCTGTCAGTCAACATGTTACAGATATGTCACGGCCGTCTGTCAGTCAACGTGTTACAGGTATGTCACGGCCGTCTCTCAATCAACGTGTTACAGATATGTCACGGCCGTCTGTCAGTCAACGTGTTACAGATATGTCACGGCCGTCTGTCAGTCAACGTGTTACAGGTATGTCACGGCCGTCTCTCAATCAACTTGTTATTGATATGTCATGTCCGTCTGTCAGTCAACGTGTTATAGATATGTCACGGCCGTCTGTCAGTCAACGTGTTACAGGTATGTCACGGCCGTCTGTCAGTCAACATGTTACAGATATGTCACGGCCGTCTGTCAGTCAACATGTTACAGATATGTCACGGCCGTCTGTCAGTTAACATGTTACAGATACGTCACGGCCGTCTGTCAGTCACCGTGTTACAGATATGTCACGGCCGTCTGTCAGTCAACGTGTTACAGGTATGTCACGGCCGTCTCTCAATCAACTTGTTATTGATATTTAATGTTCGTCTGTCAGTCAACGTGTTACAGATATGTCACGGCCGTCTGTCAGTCAACGTGTTACAGGTATGTCACGGCCGTCTCTCAATCAACTTGTTATTGATATTTAATGTTCGTCTGTCAGTCAACGTGTTACAGATATGTCACGGCCGTCTGTCAGTCAACGTGTTACAGGTATGTCACGGCCGTCTCTCAATCAACTTGTTATTGATATTTAATGTTCGTCTGTCAGTCAACGTGTTACAGATATGTCACGGCCGTCTGTCAGTCAACGTGTTACAGGTATGTCACGGCCGTCTGTCAGTCAACGTGTTACAGATATGTCACGGCCGTCTGTCAGTCAACATGTTACAGATATGTCACGGCCGTCTGTCAGTCAACGTGTTACAGGTATGTCACGGCCGTCTGTCAGTCAACGTGTTACAGATATGTCACGGCCGTCTGTCAGTCAACATGTTACAGGTATGTCACGGCCGTCTGTCAGTCAACGTGTTACAGATATGTCACAGCCGTCTGTCAGTCAACATGTTACAGGTATGTCACGGCCGTCTGTCAGTCAACGTGTTACAGATATGTCACGGCCGTCTGTCAGTCAACGTGTTACCGGTATGTCACGGCCGTCTGTCAGTCAACATGTTACAGGTATGTCACGGCCGTCTGTCAGTCAACGTGTTACAGATATGTCACGGCCGTCTGTCAGTCAACGTGTTACAGGTATGTCACGGCCGTCTGTCAGTCAACGTGTTACAGATATGTCACAGCCGTCTGTCAGTCAACATGTTACAGGTATGTCACGGCCGTCTGTCAGTCAACGTGTTACAGATATGTCACAGCCGTCTGTCAGTCAACATGTTACAGGTTTGTCACGGCCGTCTGTCAGTCAACATGTTACAGGTTTGTCACGGCCGTCTGTCAGTCAACGTGTTACAGATATGTCACAGCCGTCTGTCAGTCAACATGTTACAGGTTTGTCACGGCCGTCTGTCAGTCAACGTGTTACAGGTATGTCACGGCCGTCTGTCAGTCAACGTGTTACATCCTTTTGTCGCTGTTTACCTCCTGCTCGTGATGTCTCTGCGGGTTCTATCCACATCATCCAAAACAGAATTTCTTTCAAGAAAGATATCAATATAAACAAAGAGAATTGAATAAAATACCCGTACATGTAATATATTTCTGTTTATAATGCTATAAGATAACGAAGCCACAATGCCATGTCAAAAACGGAGTCCACACCCCATTTTTGTGTTTTTGTAACGATTAATTTCGTGGGGAACTCCGGATGTCTTTTCAGAAGGTGCTTTCTAATATTAGTCTCTAACTATAAGAGGATATTGGAAATATATATAGAGCGCCGCCATGTTGTCTGAATGAAGATAATATTTGTGATCCTAACAATGCCCTGTGAGCATGCTGAGTATCAGCAGTTGGAGAGACCAGAGGGATAGTAATTTAATACCATGTCTTTTATCCTTTCATCATCTCAAAGATGAATAATAGAATCAGCTATCTACTTGTATAATAGTATAGAAGAAAAAATGATATCGGATAGCGAAGTCCTATCTCAAAGCAAATCTGTGACAGATTCTAGCTGGTGATTATTTTAGTGAACTTGACAAGTGTCGATTAAGTGTAGTATTCACATGTAAATAAAACTGTGATATAAATTATATCATTTCTATATTCATTGTGGACAAAACTCGATGTGGAAATGTCCTACACTCGCAAAACAAACGGTGTAATCTTTTGGAGACCAAAGGGGCACGACATAATTTTTTTATAAAAACAAAACAAACTCTAAACGATCATAATATAAGTTTGAAATTTAGAAATATTTAGGGAAGTGTGACAAAGATATGTTTGCAAGAAGGTATGCGAACGCACCACGTAAAAGAGATTACAATATTTTTGCACCAAGAGGAGCACGAAATAGTTGGAGTTATAAAAAACAACAACAAACTCTTAACGCCCATAATATAAGTGTAAACTTCAGAAATATTCCAAATTTAGAATTTAGGGAACTTCAAGTGTGTCAAAGGTTTTTTTGCAAGAAGATATTGCTGTATGAACGTGACAAAGATGTTTTACACGAACAAAATGCAATAGATATGAACGGTCACCTTGTAAGCCACACAACTGTGAGATGGCCGAAATTTATGACAAATCATAAATAAGTGGGGTTATGATCAATATGGATGTTTTTGACGCGACTTTGTTGGCACAGTTATGTTCCACA